AGAGCTTTCAATCCCCGCAAGCGCGGAAAGATGCTGCCAGGTCTGTGGCTTTCTGTTGGGCACAAGTTGGCCGGAACGTAGCTCCACTGCACTATCTTGAGATACAAAACTTGACAGCCCTTACCATAATCCATGCTGCGTTTAGTTTTGGGCACGCAAAGCTTTACGGGCACACACGCTTGCAACCAACGCCTCAAATTTCGATCTTATCACAAACCTGGTTCCAGCCCTGAATCAACCGCCGAACGCATGGAAAGACCCCCTCACGCACAAGTCCCGGTGAGGCGAGGATCTCAGAAGAAGCCGCTATATTCGAACACATTTTGTGACATGTTAGATGTGTTGTATAAACGATGGGAGCTGCGCTTTGCCCAGAGTGGTCATGTCTGGCGGCTTTGCTTCCAAGACTCTCGAAGGCACGGAGGCTAACCAGGGGCTTGCTCATGCCCTTGCCCTTCGGGGTCTGAGTTTCTCAGCAACATGTAGGGTACAGTGGATACTTTCTGCAATGTTGAAGTGTCCTACACCGTGTTTCGGAGCTGAAGCCAACACCTACGGAGCCTCAACAAAAGCACGAACCCCTGCGAGGCGCCTTCGGCCGGAGGGCCGCGGCCGCCACGACGGAAGCCGCGGCGAGGGGCGCCAGGGAAGAGGCGGATGCAGCAGATGCACCTGCGAATGGGAGAGAGTTTCGACCATCCGGAATCTGGAGTGGGATCTGGGCATGCGGTTGGCCAGCTATCACCAGTCAGGACCCCGCAGATCCAAGAACGAAGGGAGCGACAAGGCAACGCGACAGCAGGACGAACGCTGTACAAACAGGACGTTGTACATGGTCCACCGTCGCAAGTACATCTTTAGGCACATCTGAGCCACGTTGGGCTGGTAGCATAAGGTAGTAAGCACGCAGCGTGACCATCTTGATGCAGATGCGAACACCATGATGCCTTAAACCCCATGCCGCGTACCTGTGGCAGCAGATCCACGCAGGCTGCTGTTAGGAGCCTCGCGCATTTTCAGGTGCCAAAAGCCAGCGAGTTTGGGTCGGTTTGAAACTTGGAACCCTGCAAGCTTGGTGCCTCGGGTGTCGGGACTCGAGATTGAGCAGAATCGCAGGAATCCCCGGGCTGAGCCCCCCAAGACTGCAACCTGGGAACTGCCGCGTCCGGAACCCTCCCACAAACTCCAGGTCCTTCACGGCTGGCGCAGACGCGCGAGTGCTGACGAAGGCCTGGCAAGCCCGGCTGAAGTCGCCATCTAAGGACTGACACTAACAATCGCCAGGAAAAAAAGACCCTTCTTTATCCTTCTTTCAATGTGCGTGGATTCTCGGGTTTAGCTTTTGGTTGTAGTGCCCTGGTTCCCTGCTAGAGAAACATGAGAAGCCCCAAAAGCTGGCCAACCGCAGGGTCTGACACATCCTGGCGCAACCCCGGTCCTCTCTTAGTCCAGGCAGAAGACGACTAGAGCTAGGACCAGTTTTCCTGATGAGCTTCAGATAACTTCAGATGGCTTCCGGGCTGCGATGCATTTCAGCTCCATGCCATACCTCGACTTCTCACGACGGGAGAGGTCAGTTCCCGCCTTGCCCAAGTGAACAACAGAGCCAAACCCTCGGCTGCCTCCACCCCCATGGTGGCGGCCAGCCCCGCGGCGGACAGTGCCGCCACGGCAACGGACTTCTGACCTTTCTTGGATTGAGGTTCGGGGGCTGCGGAGTTTAATTGCCACGGCGCCCCACAATCAAAGTGAATCTCGTGTATCTCGTGGAATTCTCATGCAGTTCAGGAGTCCCCCGCGGAAGCTACGCAGCCACGCGAACAAGAGCACAGAGCAAGGTGGAGCTGGGGGTCCGGCTGCTGGCCATCGTGGAACGGGAAAAAGTTATAAAGGATGGCGAAAACGCTGCAGAAGTACCTATATAAAAAGTCCTTGAGGGGCGGCCCGGCGATCCCGGCGATAGCGGTGAGGTGCACAGCTGAGTGGCGGTGTGTCTTTTTTCTTTGCCCCAAACTTTGCAGCACTTACGTGATCCGGCTTTCTTGGCAGTTCTGGTTCACGGTCTCAGCGACTCAGCGACTGTTCAACGAGGTTGGCTATAGAGTTCCATGTGGCGCTAAACACAGCTGCACATCACAGACCCCAACAACTTCTAAACCAACACAACCCGAAAATTCTCCACCAGCCTTGCAACACACGACAACCCGTGTCGCGGATCTGGCACATGGAGGGGGATGGACCTACAGATGATCCCCGGAATCTACGGTCAATCCACTGCAAGGCTCTCCTTCTCCCTGCTCTGTGTCTGGAAGCTGCTTCGGCAAGGCCCCCGGAAACATCCGGAAACGGCAAATCCCCAAAGTCCCCAAAGTGCCCTTCAAAACCGCTTCCTCGGACAGAGCCGCCTCGAGCTGCCAGGCCAGGAACTCACAGATCCAGGGGTGGCCTTTCTGAGAAGGGCAAAAAAAGGAAAGTGCAAAAAAAGGAACAAAGGACAAAAGGACAAGGAGAGCATTCTGAGAGCCACCACAAATGGGGTTTCGGAGGGTGTCTCGGCTGTCTCAGATGTTTAGCCCGAGGGCCGTTTGCTGTTGGAGCTGAGAGAGAGAAGCAAAAAATAGATGCTCACTCTAGGAAGAAGGACACACACACGAATCTTCACACGAGGTGGCGGCCGGTGCTGGAGGCCAGGCTTGGAGCCTTCCGTCACAAAACGGTGGAGGCTTTGGGGTGGCTTTGGGAAAAATTGGGGTTCCTGGCTACTTGCAGCTTGCCGCTAATGGCAAAGCCTCGGGCAGTGGAGAAGAGCGCGGCCTGTGCGTCTCTGGTCAACGAAACTTCTCATGCCCCACCTGCGCGTTGAGAGCGTCGCGAAGCACCAGGAGGGCCTGACAGGATCCTCAATCTCTAAAGACTCTAAAGCTACAAACGCTGACCATCAAAGCACTAGGCCCGAAACCATCCCCCGGAATCCTTGAACGATGTCGAGGCGCCCGGCGGCGGCCAGAGGCTCCCTTCGGTGCCGAGCCTTGTGAGAAGAGGGATAAACTAGGATAGAACCAAGCGGAGAGGTTTTTAGCAGAGCTCGCAGCAGATCCCTTGGACCCCTCCCTTGGGCCACTTGGGTCCCGGGCCTTCAGGTGCATCGGCGGCACTATCGGCAGGGGATGCATGCGGCGCCTAAGGCTCCAAAGGGAGTGCCCAAGCTATTAGCGAAGGGATCGTGCTTAAACTGTACGGAGTGGAAGGAATGCAGCCATCAGCAACACCAGCAAAATTTGTTCGGCAAAGGAACTCTGGCGACACTTTGGGAAAACGTGAACTGGGCCTTGTATTAAGATCTCCGATGTTCAATCAACGCCAAGCCTCCAAACATCTGCAAATTGCATTGCCCGCTGGGCGCCCGAGTGGTGATACCTTTTGGGCCGCCTTTTGTCGATTCTCGCGATGCGGGGTCAAGATCTCCGAAACTCGATTCGCACGAGAGGGCTCCTGCTGAGGAGTGGCAACGGCAACTTCGCCCATGAAACAAAACGGTTGTTGTTTCTTGTCGGTTGATTTTTCTGCGTTGGTCTCACCGTGCGGCCGATCGTCAATGATGCCAAGGGACAGTGTCCAGCCGTTGGCACTTGCATTTCTGTTTCTGCGCTGTCGAAAGTCCCGAAGAATGGGCATTGAGGGGAACTCGGGCTTGGGATTTAGGAATTTTTAAGTTCAGGGTTTAGCATGTTTGCATTCCAAGCGCGTGTGAAGTTGATCTGTCTTGGGCTTTGCAGCTTGTAGGGTGTTTGGGGTTCAGGACTTTTAAGCTCTGGAAAAGATTTCGAAGACTTCAAAAGGGGTTGTATTTACCCGAGCTTCTGTAAATTGGGGCTTGAGGTTTATCTAGGGCTTAGGGGGGGGTTAAGTTTTTCATGCCCAGCATGCCCATCTCGCCCATCCCATTGCAGCCTGCCCCCCGGGACCCTTTAAGCGCTCTGAGGAGGTAGCTTGAATTGTTCCGAGGACAAGCCTGAAAAAAGAACTGTCAATGTTGACACCATACACACAAGGATTCTTAAACACCCGCGCTGCTCAAGGGAAACTCTGCATGTTTCCTTCGTCATCCTCGGCGTGCTAAACGCTGCACCCCCGCAGCTTTTGCTGCCCTGCCTCCTGTCCAGGTTGATGTGCGCAAGTTAATTTGAGCAAGTTCCTATCATCGTCATCATCATCATCAACATCATCATGCTTGCTGGCTCCTTTTAAGTGCAATGGTCATGCGCATTGTCATCATCATTACCATACATGCTAATCATGAGCGTTGTCACTATCACTCTCATTATCTTAGCATTGCCTCACCATCAGGAAGGAATTAGGATGCGGCGCCTAGACGTAGACCCCGTGCAAAGAGAAACAAAACAAATGCGCACGTAAGGCGCCTTGCTCCCCTTCCTCCACCACCCTAGGGAAGCGACTGCGGCGCTCCCCGACGAAGAGCACGCGGTCATGGCAACGGCCAGAACATAACGTTAGCCGCATGCCCTTTCTGAGGCACCTGAACCCTGCAGTAAGGTAACCCGGGTTTAGTGGCGAAAGCCCTACAACCTTGACCAAGCATAGCAGGCTTTGAGGGCATGGAAAGTTGACAAGGATGAAAGCCTCTCTTAATGTTTCAACGTTGCGCTGAAGAAATCTCTCAACCCAACTTGCACTAAGCTGCTTCGACCCAAGTTGTCTTCTAGATCCTATGTAAACCAGATCTCAAGTTTCAGGCTTGGGCCACCTCTGACGTCTACGACCGGCGACTGCAGGGACTGCAGGGTTTCTGGGTCGAAGGCGGCAACATGCTACATCATGCCGGAATATCGCAGTGGACCTACTAAGTGACTAAAGCTAGGGCAGATAAGGAAGAAAGCTAGGTTAGGAGAAAATATAATCTTGTGAGAAGCGATTGCTTTACGATGTCGTGTACTAGACAACGTGCAGACACGGGATCACCTTAATGACGCGGTGGCGACCTGGACCTTGGTGCACTCGTCGCCCGCAGGGCCCGCAGGGGAGGACACCGTCGCATCAGCGCCTCACACGGATGAAGACAGAGGTGCAAAAAACGGGGCAGGGTCGCTCGTTGTGCAGCGGGGCTACTCCAGGGTTTCCGTTAGGGTTGAGGTATGCTGACGGCTTAGGGGCGCAAGGTTTGGCCGCAGTATTGATGCTGAAGCTCACTGAAACGCCCCCGAAGCGGACCTGGCCCTGTGCAGCTGGCAAACTGGGCCTGGAGAAGGGCCAGAGGGGGAGGTGGGAAGGGGGGGATGGGAAGTAGGGTCGGGGGCAGCGGTGTGCATTATGAGAATTCTGAAAAAATCCCTCCAAAGCTCTACGATTTCTTTGCGAGTAGCGCACCCCGCGAGCCACCGCACCGCATCATGAAATCAGGTCTTGAGTCCCAAAGCCACACTCCAGGCCTTCATGGACATCTGCTTCAATGCGAGATTCACCTGTGCGGGCTTTTGAGTTCTTTGAACATTGGTAGTCGGAGGGTTGTCCGGGGGGATGCAGGGGGGGGATGAGGATAAGAGAGGATAAGAGGGGTATTGAGGGGTAACGGAGGGAAGGGAGTCTGTTGGAGTATGTTCGAGTAAAGGGCCCCACACAGGGATCAGTACATCTAAGCCCAAAGAGTGACACAGACGCTCTCATGATGCTCGCATGACACACTCGAATGATGAACACAAACCATTCCTTCTCTCGCTCGCTCTCGCTCCAGAGACCCGAAACTCAGCTGTGAACCATCTGCGAAGCATCTGCCGAAGCATCTACCGAAGTATCTACCGAAGCATCAACCGAAGCATCAATCGAAGCATCCACCGATGCATCCACCGATGCATCTGCGAAGCCCCTCTCAAGCCCTAGGATCCCCAAGCCAAGTGTACTCAAGTCATCTCAAGTCAGATAAGCACTGAAGCACTGACCCCCTACAGTCTCAAAGTGTCCCTCGCCTGGTCTGGAGAAAGGTCCCCCACGCGCTCGAGGCGGGGGTCGCCTCAACAGTCTGGGCACAGCCGTGAACAGCATCTGCTTTCGAAGGTGTGAGCATCTCACTACTCTTGAAACCATAGCGAAGGGTACAGAGCGTACGGACACCAGGCCGAAGGCAGAACCTGAAAGGTGCAAAAGCGCCAGGAAGCATCTATGGGGCTCCCTTCAACTTGCTACCCCAACGTAGAAAAAGAGAAAGTTTGGGCTAGGGAAGAAGAGAGCAGAAAAGCAAGCAGAACGGTCTCTGATTGCCAGCTCTGTGCCTCGAAACTTCCGAGGTGCCAGAACCGCAGAGCGGCAAGCTATGCCCCGCCGCTCGGGCACATATGGCTCTGAACACCCTGAACGACAATCCCGCAAACCACCCAACCAAGCCATTGACTGAGTTGCTACCGATTGCTGAGGAACAGGACTAATTTCGTGCAGGCACTGCTCCAGAGCCTCTTCGAGAACCTGCCGCCGTAGCCCCACACGCCCAACATGCCCCCACATGCCACACGTCACACTTGGAAGCCTTGGGAGTTTAGGGTGGGGGCTTGTCCAAGGTTGATGGAGCAGGATCAATGTTCGACGACCCTTTCCTGTTCCCCACATCAAGACATCAAACTTATGGTTGGCTCTGAAGGTGATTCTTCGTTTTGCTGAGCAGGCAAGGAGACCCAAAGGACGGCATATGCCCCCGCGTGCCGGCGCTTCCTCTACTCTTTTCCTTCTGCAGCAGCTACCTTGCGAGACCAGAGAAAGGGGCCGCGACTTCTTACAGTAACACTTTCGCCCCGGCTCTCTCTCTCTCTCTCTCCCTCTTTCTCTCTGTATTTCTCCTTCTCTCTCGCTCTCTGTCGCTGCCCTCTCTTCCTCCCGATCCTTGGATCCGATGAAGATCCTCCCTAAGCCGAAACAGTTACACACCCCAACGTTCAGTTACACTTTAGACTTTAGCCTCGACTACTGGCAGAACTGGCCTGCAAAGGGTGCTTGGAGAAGACAGCCTCGCGTTGCGCATTGGGGAAGTGTACCCAGGAGCTGGCAACCCGGACTTTGCGGACGAGACGCCAACTACAAAAGCAGGTGCCTCAAGCTGAACACCTCAAGAAGCTTTGCAATGCCCAGTGGCTCTTCGGGCTAGCAATTCGGCAGTGAAGCCTTCAAAGGAACGCAACAACATAAAACAACATAAATAACATAACGTCCGAGCCTGAAGCCCACACCCAAAACCACCCCAAAACCACCCCAAACCACCCCCCCCATTGCTTCGCTGCTGTGCGTTGCTTCCGGGAGGCTTGGAAGAGGCCGCTTCCGGAGCTCGGCGGGTTGAGGAGGCCGCCCTGCGCCAGAACCGGAACCGGGGCTCTGGGGTCCGTCTTATCTTTCTTCGGCTTTGATGTTCGGGATGTTGGGGCTGTTGTATCCGTTGCCTTAAGATGAGCGGGATTTCTGGATTCGCAGGGACTTGGGGGTCCGACATGGTTCGAGCCTCGGCGAAGAGCCCCGAGAGCACGTTCAGCACCGCGCCCCCACGGAGGTCTGGCCTCCGACGCTTTCTGACGCCCCCTCCCTGGACCCAGCGAACAACGAAAAGGGAAACGGCCCTAGCCTGCAGCCTCAGAAAACCTCAGAATCATTCAGCTTCGCACAACTCGCTGATGCTCGCTGTCCCCAGTACTCTTGAACCAGGAAAGCATGTGGCGCCCGTATCCGGGCACCCGGACGTGGCCAGCGACTCTGAGGCTAAGGGGAGCGGCAGCGTCTCTGCACAGCCTGATTTAGAAGAGGCGAAGGCCGATGGCACCTCCTTAGCATGCAGCGCACATCCCTCCCCTAAACGTGCGGCGTCCCGGGCCTTGCTCCAGCACCAGCATACAATGCCGGCCTCCAAGCTGACCTGCAGTGGCTGTCGGCCTAGGGTTCTCGGGGTTCCTGCGGCCTCTATCGAGTACTCTTCACACCGTGACGCAACGACTGTTCACCACCCCTAAGAAGTCGGGAAAGAAAAGTCAAAGTCGGCTAGAAGAAGTCGATTCCAACACTCCCCCCCTGAACAAAGTGTCCCACAATCCCACAACGCGAGAGAAAGCGTGTGGTTTTTTTTTCTGCTTTTGGAGAGTGAACGGAAGGCGCGGATTGCCCGCGGCTGTTGCCTGGCCTGCCACCCATTGTTTGATGGCCTGCCGCGAAGTCTCCGACCTTTGTCCCCAAGAACGGATCGAATGCTTCTTTATACTTTGTTGCGCAGTGGCTATGCTTGGATAGGATAGATAGGCTTGGACGGGTGCGTGGATTCATGGTTCATCCGGGGGGGTGGGAAGGGGGGGAAAGCCTGGGAGAAAAAGTGATGTCAGGTGCCTCGTGGAGTGCTAAAAGGAGCATCCAATAGTCCATCGGATGTCGAACGTTGAGCATAACACGAAAGAGCTCACGTCAACCCTCCTGGATGTTGAAGAACCTTAAGACTAAAAAATGAAAACTTCCTGCTCTGGCACGCATTTGGAGAACTGCCACCTTGCAAGCGTAAACCCTGAACTGCTTGAACCGAGCCAAGACAAAACCTGCTTTCAGAAGCTCGGCAACCCGAATTCCAAAACCAACACCCAAAATGCCGGTACGGAACACCATGCTGTGCTATGATGTGCTTGGGTGCTCAAAGGGCCCTGGCAAGGTGCCCCAGTCCAGCTCTGCAGCCGCCTCGGACGCCTGCCGGTGCACAAGGAATTAGGAAAGGGTACCCTAGCGGCAACCCTAGCCGCTCTAGCAACTGTGGCAGCTTAAATCATGAGACGGCAAGAGGCCGTGAGGGTGAGGCCGAGAGGGTGAGGCCGTGAGGGTGAGGCCGTGAGGGTCGCCAGCTGTTCCTAAGTAACCAAAAGACCCTCAAACTTGGTCAGCATGAGCAGGGTGCTCTGTCGGTTTGTTGAGGTTGCTCGCCCCAGAGACCCCGCAAGAACTTTGCACTCGAAAGCCCTGGATGCGCTCCAAATCCTTTTGAAAAGCCCGACAACACCCCCACACTTTCCTCAAATTGCAGCTTAAATGCCGTGCAACACGCTACACAGAAACACCCGTCTCTCCCAAAAAAGTCCATCCGACAACTCAAGCCGCAGCTGTCAGACATGCGAAGCCTGGGCGGCTCCGCGAAGCCCCAGGGGCTTCTGCCTTTGGGAGATTGCAACGGCCGCATGAGTTTCCCAACCTAAATTTGGGTCCTCGAAGGATCTTGAAAGAGAGGGGAAAACCTCATCTTGAAGCCAAACTCAGAAAAAGGTTAGAAAGTTAGAACCCCCTCACAACTATTGAATTCTCAAGGAGTTCCGTGACGCTGCTAAGACCTGCTAAGCCAACCGGCCCCTGAAAGCCGCACAACCCCCCCGCCTCCCCCGCCTCAAAGCCGCACAACCCCCCCTCCCACAACTTTGAAAAGTCGAGGCACCTGGGCGCTTCGCTCCGCCGCTCCTCCCGGCGCTCACGGCTCTTGGCCTCCCAGCGACGTTTCTTCGGGGAGTTGGGGGAGCTAAATTGTTCTTGAGCAAGCTCCTGCCGGTGCGTCAGACGCGTCAGGCTCGAAAGGTCTCAATGGCTGTATGCCACAAACGGGCTTTAAGGTGCGGGGCTGCCTTCGAAGTCAGGGGGTGGTCACATCGATACTGCCCATTCACATCAATCACCAGAACAAGGACGGCTTGCGCGCGACATTCGTCTGTCAAAGGCAGCACCATACAGGTTTTCAAAGGCTCCAGCGCTGGTCGCGTCCGTTGCGGCGTGCAGCACGCACAAACACGCACGACAGCCGCATTGCAGCTTCGCGTTCATGTGTGCAGGGCCAAACATGTGCAAATTACAAGGCCCAAAAAACCTCCTTGCCCATGCAGCTTCGAAGGCCGAGCGTTGTGCTGGGGGGGGGGGGTATTTGGGTGGGTCTTTTCGTGATCTTGAAGCTTTTTGCAGGCCCGCTGTACGCTTGGCCCAAAACAGTTTACCTCACTATATACATGCCTAATCTTGACGTACGAATCGCACCCCACCTGAATGGAATCTGGTCGCAGCCATTGCAGCATGACCTGTGACGCTTGCGATGCCCACTTACACCTCTTCAACTGTCTGACAGAATGAAGAGGCTTGAAGCATGGGAGCATGGGAGCGCAAGACTCGAAACCGTTCCCGCAACGGCTTGCTTCCTACTGCCCAACACGTGAAATCCATTGAAATCCCCGATTTCCAGGCTTGAGCCGCGGCCCAGAAGCCCAGTCGAAGTTCTTTGCCCTCAATGACAAACCCGGCTCCCACGTAAGGTTCGCAGTCTGACCCGCAGCGGGCCTCAGCACGGCCCCGCGGCTGCACCGAACCAAGACCTGCAGCCCAAAAAACGAGCAGAGAGCGAGGCATCCTCCTTCGTTTGAGCTCTTTCTTTCGGGGCATCTCAATCTCTCGCTCTCTCGCTCTCTCTCTCTCTCTCTCTCTCTCTCTCTCTCTCTCTCTCTCTCTATCTCTCTCTTTCTTTCTGGGAGCGTGGGGGCAAGCCCCCGGGCGTCATCGCCCGCCCCAGTATGTGGGCTGCTCGGTGAACTGGTGGAGGTGTCCGTGTGCAGTTTGCTTATCGTCAACCCCCCCCCCTCTCTCTCTCTCTCTCTCTGTTTGACCCAGCTTTCATAAGATCTGCCCAGAAAGACCTCCTGCAGATGGCAAGCCTGGTCGTTCGTCACTGTCGTCCTCCGGCTCGGAGTAGAGCACCTCAGGGCCAGTGGCCCACCCCGCTTCTGGCTTCTTAAGGGAACTTCTTCTGAACGATGACTTGGGGTGTGGAGATGAAGACCTTCGCGCTCACAAAGGAGCGTGTGAAAAGAATCCAGAGCGTGCTGACACGGTGTGACGGGGCGCAGCGTGTGTCAGCACCAGTCTGCTAGTCTGCCTCCCACTATTGAGGGCAGACACCAAGCCCTGCCTGCTGAGGGCGGTGCAGGCAAAACAAGGATTTCAAGTCCCTCACACAGGATTTCGAGGTTTTGGCTGTTTGGTCTTGAGAAGCCGAGAGTTCAGTGTAGAGGCTTGACGTCCAAGACAAACATCTCGAAGCCATCCCCTGCACCCGAAATACCCGAAGGCCCGTCAAGGAGTGTCAGCAGTCAGCAGTTCTTTTTTTCATCGACACGCTTTAACGACAGGATACAGCTACATTCATCGCACCGAAGCCCCCTTGCAGGCTCTTACTACACATGCGACCCAACAACCAAGACAGGCAAACTCTCTCACAAGCGTGTAGACCCAGTCACAGGACGCCCCATCGGGTGCCCCACGACCTCATCCACCATGGTCGGCACACTAAGATCCCGGTGGAGGCCTCTCCGAGTTCTCCGAGCTACGAGTTCTCCCAGCGGCACCCTGTTGTGATGAAACCAGACCCCCTGAACTCCTCCGTTTGCACGAATTGCAGGCCCCCGCTGTCGAAGCGCAGCACAAAGAAGCCTAAAAAAATTGCAGCTTCTCACCTGAACCTTTTGAAAGCTGGCCCATGATTCGAGCCCCCACCTTTCGCGGACGGCCTGCGCTGTAGGCCTCGGCAGGCCATTCAAGTCCAGGAGGGCTTTGGGCCACAATATGGAGCATCCCCCGTGGAGCTTTCCTTGCAAGACCTGTTCCATAGCATTGCCAAGTGCTACCGTTCCTTGAGGCATCAACAACATCGCATTCACTTGCCAAGCTACATTCCCCCTTCAGAAGCTTAAGACTCAGCCCTTGCAGTCTTCCGCGCAGTCTGCTCCAAGATCTGCTCCAGGTGCCCGTGCCCTCCGGCGCCTGCAGGCCCTGGAGAATGCTCTCTACCTCAGAGGAGGGATGAGGCCCCGCGCTTGGGGATTTGCCATGTGCCGCTCTGCGTTGGCTGAAGGCCCAAGAGGGCCAATATGAGCCAAAACCGAAGCAAACCTAGTGAGACCTAGTGAAAGTTGATGTGTGCTTGTCGTCTTGTGAGGCGCGGTGCTTAGGAGACTGGAATTCGCCAGATCCAAGAACCTAGCAGAGCCATGTCATGTGCCATCAAAGCCTAGGCCTAAGCTACGAGTTTTCTAGAGATATTTCGAAAGGCTCGGACCGTCTGCGCCAGCGAGTGACTTGAAGGAACCTTCTGCATCATCCAGGGCTTGCAGATGCTTGCAGATTGCATAGGCAGCGGGGTAATTTAGGACGAAGCGGGTCCTAGAGTTCGGTTGCGGTGCAAGGTCACAGTTTGATGGGGGGTAGGAGTTTCGGGCCAGCATTTCTCTCACAATCCCACCTCCTCAGCCTTTCCAATCATCCAGCGCTCAGCCCGCAGCCACCACCCTCAAATCCACCATCCAAGCCCTCGGCCTCCAGACTCTCAAAATCACCAGACCCAAGCGCCCAAGAAGGCACGACAAGAACTCATAAATCCCTGAAAGTCACCCCCCACCCCCCCGAGAAAAACCTTGGGCCCCAGCAGGCATGTCTGCCCTCTTGTAGCCCAGGTCTTCTTGCAAGGCCGTGGCGCCACCTGACGATTCGCATGATCAAGAAGATGAGAAGATTCATCCACGCCGGGGCACTCGCTCTTTCTCGGGTGTTTTTTTGTCACAGGGTCGGCAAGGATGTTCAGATGTTTGGTTCAGCTGCTTGGCTGCTTTGGTCTCTGTGTGTGTGTGCAACGCCAAAGCTCCTGGAGTATCTGGGCATGCTGCGAACTCCTTTCCGGATCCTCCACAACAACACATTACAAGATAATCCCGACTCATCACCTTCCAAATCCCAGGCCGCACGCGCCGCGCCTGGGCCCAGGATGTTCCTGGCAATCGCCGCGCGACCTGAACAGCTTCAGATTCCGCTGAGCTCGCACCTCCCACACTTGTTAGTAGGAGTCATCACTCATGCGTCTCGAAGGAAATTTAAACTCAGACCTGGTATCTCTTTCTACGACACGACGACCTGGGTCTGGGGAAGTGCGGGAGCGTTTAGGGGCTCGCCGGGCTCGCCGGGCTCGCGGCTCTGCATCGGGATAGAGCCCATGGGGCATGCTCCTTGCAACGGCTGAGCACACGCTCCTGAAGAGCTCAAGAAAAAGCAAGTTGACTTTTGGAGCCGCAACGCCGCGGCTCTACGTCCTCCGCAGTAAGTGCAAACAGTAGTTGCAGCTCAAGCAGGATTGTCTATGTTCTGTTAGACGGAATGGCGTGGGATATAGCTAAAAATTGCAAAACTTGAGGGTTTATCTCGCGAGGGAAGGCTGCCGACCTCAGCGCTGTTGCCAGTGGCTTCGGTCTAAAGTCTAAAAGACAAGCCCCTTGCCCAACACCCGAAAGCAGAACGCTGTAACTCTACATCGCTAGCTACATCCGAAACGCGCCCTTCACCTGCCCTCGACTCCGAAATCCCGAAGTGGAGTGAGATCGGCACCAGCACGAACGTCGTAGGCCGAGCAGTCGAGGGATGAAGCTGCGGGCAGTCGGGCAGTTGCAGGAAGCCAAATCACCATGTTCGATTCATCCCGCAAGCACTCAACGCTACCTCGTTTCTGGGAAGCTTGGGGGCATCGGGAATCAGAACCTACAAGACGTCGGAACTTCGTAGGACGTTGTAGGACGTTGTAGGACGTTGCAGGACGTTGCAGGACATCGGGCATGGCCTGGCTTTGCAGACAGCTCTCAAAAGTGTAGAACCACAATGAACCACAGAGTACTGCAGATGCTGGTCCCCGCCCACTCTGCCCAGAACTTCTGAACCCCTCGGCTCTGGGCGGCTCTGCCTGCTCTCTGCGGTGGGCCTGGGTTCTCAGAGCCCGGATGTTTTCGGTGTTTCCGGGCCAAAGACGTGCACTTGACTAGCTAGGATACTCTAGGAGTCCAGCGATGCTTCACAGCATGAATGGCGCAACCTTCGTGGTAACGTGAGTGATGCAACGTGGTAACATGCCTCAAGGGCAATAAGAAGGTGAGATAACCTTCGTGGTGACTCTGTAGCATTCTGTAGCCTAAAGAGCTCGAAGAGCCCAGAGAGCCCAAAGAGCCGGCGCTCGCCTGGATGCGTGGCCGGCCCATCCCGCGGCAGTGAGGAGCCCCGCTGCCCGGAGGGACACCTCTACGGCATGTGGAGCACAAGCGGGCTCAAAGGCTTAAAGGGGAAGTATGGGGAAGTCTTAAACTCGAAGAATCTCAAAGACGGTTTGGGATGCTCTGGTTTTCGGTTGTTGTTTTGCTTTGCTTTGGGGCTTGTTCGAATTTGGTTTCCGGATCCAAGGCGTCACGGGTAGAGGGCGCATTGTAGGGAGCGGGTGGTGTAGGGCATGGAGCTTTGTACAGCTTTGTAGGGCTTCCAATGGGTTGGGATCTTCGATGATTCGTTGGGGTTCCGGACGTTTTTCCGGATGTTTTGTGCGCCTGGGTGCGGATGTCGACCGCGTCGTGGCACCAGGGATGCCTCGGCTTCGGACATTTGGGCTTTTGGGCCGAGGGCTTGGATGGGATTAAACCTGGCAGCACCTGGCAAACCACGAGGAGGCCACGATGACCAGAGCAGAACCCTGCTTCGGATCCCTGAACACATCCTGAACACTCTCCAATCTCCCAAATCTCCAAAACCCCCAACAAACCCCCAACAAACCCCAACAAAATCTTTGGGGCGAGGCACCTCTGGCGCTCTGGGGCCGGCTACAAGGTGATGCCTCGAGGGTGCGGGCGGCCTCCTAGGCCAAAGCTAAAGCTGGCTCCGTGCTGAACTCAGGACTGCAAAACCCTCTTTCGTTATATCCTGACCTGGCGCATCCCAGGCCTCCAAACCTCCAAACCCAAACACTCAAGGATGCGGCACACTGAGCAGTCCTTGCGAGGAGCTAAGGGTGGGCGCTCGCATACCTGATGCCCACTGGCCCAGAAACTCAAAGGAGCAACTTTCCGACTCTAGCATTTCAGAATTGGCCTTCAAGCAAGGTCGACTTTGAGATCCTTTAAGCATGAGGGCCATGGGAGTGCTGAAGGTTTGGTGCCGTATGCTTCCAGAGCAGCACAAACCTGCCTCCAAGGGGTTGAACGCGGTTCACATGTTCACACCCTCAGCAAGCGATCATAAACCCCATGCTCCCAGAAGCCTGGGGGGGAAAAAAAAAAAACACGCCTAGAAGGCCTCCCAAATGCTGAGGCCCAACATGTTGTTGAAAGGAGTTTGCAAATTTCATGGATATCGTTCAGAACGCGCCTGCTCCGCGTACCGCGGCCAAAGCCGCCCACCTGGCGTGAGACGGTGTGGTAAAGCGGCAAGGCTTTGAAGCGCCCAAGAAGAGGCAATCAAAAAGACACGAGAAGAACTTACCTGTAAGGCACTACACTGCACGGAGAAAAAGAGCTTTCGAAACATGTAAGTTGCTTCGCTTCGAGCAGCGGTGGATTTGAATGCAAAGAGGCTACCGTAGTAAACAAGCGGCAGCCCCAAACTTCCTCACCGCTTTGGTACTGTAGGGCCAGGCCTAGCGGCCCGGCTTGAACAGGCCCAGGGTGGCCGTACAATGCGGCTGAGTGTTGCTGCTGGCTCCTGGGGGAAGCGCTTCAAGGTCGACAAAATTCGACAAAATTCGACAAAGTGCTTCAAGGGCTCAAGGGACATCGAACACCCTTCCAGGACCTTGTAACGGAGACGTCATGGATGATGTTTGCGTTATCTTCATTTTTGTAATGTTGCATTTGTCATCATTTGTCTTTCTTGAGATATAGCTCGTTTTGGAAGAGCTATGTCTTCTCCTCCATCTCATACAGATACTTGGTCGTCTGGAATGACTACTTCTTCTTTTAATGGGAACATTTATGGGTTCTGCTTTACTGTTAGGACAGCTGAATTGACATTGAAGTACAGCAATCCGCCGAGGCCTCGGGGCGCAGGTGTATGGGGAAGCAGAGACACTCTATTCCCCGCACTCGTTTGCCTGGAATGGGTAGCCCTTGCCAACAGGTGTCCGGGAAAGGACGGTGCATCGGGACCAGAGGGAATTTAAGCCCTACCCTAGACGACCGGACACCCACCCCCACCCCCACCCCCACCCCCACCCGCGCCACGCCAAAACACGCCCTTCAACCCCACCTTGTTTTTTGGCTTTCCACTTTCGCACTTGGGGTGCCTGGTCTGTACATGGGCCTGTTCCAACAGCATCCCCAATGGGGACAGCGCAAAGCCTCTCAAAGCCCTGAAACCTGTTCTAACAGCATCTCCACACCCGCGCAGGCCCAGGCCGAGGCGGGTCGCGTAGCGCAAACACTATACATGTACTATCACAATATCCATCTAAAACTTAATGGCTTTGAGGAGGACATGCATTTTACGATCCAACATTCAAGATTTGTCTTCCGTGCGAAGTTCCAATTTCTTCCTTGTGCCTTTCCAAATCCTTACCTGCACCATCTGGCATCTTCAAGCCCTCAATGGACAACCTTTTCTTAAAAGCCTCAAGCTTCCAATCTTTCGCTTTTGCAACGATCGAAGGATGACAGTCAACAGAACGTCAGCGGCCAAGGGCTGCTTGAAGGAAAGTCGTCCAAAGAGTAAGATCCCGGCGGCTTGTCTCGGAGGGCCATTCGGCCGATTGCAGAGAGTCGAGCACCTGAGCCGAACCGAAGGTGCAAAGGCGAATAGACCGAATAGAGAATCTGGGCTCCAGATGAACGGTTGTAATCTCCGAGACGTCTGCGGTTTCATGCTTTGGAGTCTCGGCTCTGTGGCTTCGATGGCACAAGGCGAAATGGAAGAGGACTTCCGCGGATGCACAGGCTGTAAGGGAGTCAGATTGAATTCTGTTGAAGCAGGGCTCTATTGACTCTATTCACCACATTCCCAGATTCTCTTCAACGTTTAAACGCACCGCAGCAGCTCTTCGCCTCCAGCGTCCTTCGTTGCGATACTACTTCGGGCAAGGCGTGGCGAGCCTGGCCCAAGGGAAACGCTCTGGGATGCTTGCTTTACTCTTGCTTTAGCCTGCAACCCTTTCCCTCATGCGAACCCCTGAAAAACGAAGTTCTCTACGTATCACTACAAGCATCCAATCCGATGCAAAACTAAGACTTAATCTCGAACTCGTTCCCGTGCTGGATTGGATCTTGTTGGAACCTGTGGGAAATCTCCGGCGGCGCCGCAAGGCGAACTACGTCGACATGAAAAGATCAGAAGCATTCATCTCTGAGGCCAGAACGCCGGTAAAACGGTATATATAACATGTAAAAGCAGACGGCCGACCGGGCACGGTGCAACGGTTGAAAAAAGTGTAAACACTTGCCTAGGACCGGAAAGGGCAAAAACTGAAAACACAGCGAGGGACGGTGACGTGTAAAAATGGACTTTGGGACTTTGGGCCGAGAAAGGCAAAGCTGTCAAGACAACGGAAAAGAACGGTAGAAGCGGCAAAAAACAAACAGCCTGCTCGAAAGGTACTTGGGAGGCGCGTCAAGGCACAACACCGCCTTGGTACGCGGCATTGCAAAAAAGGCAAAAAAAGGCACTCCATGCGACAAAAGTGCGTGCATATACCGGCTTTGACCAGGCAACAGCAGCGCCGCCAATGGGCTACGTATACATTGTTTAACCAGACCTGGTGGCATGGTTGTATGGGTTACCACTAGCTTTCAGATGCTGTGTGATCATGTACGGTCAATTTAGGCCAGGACCCCCACCACTTCCCCTGTACCAGGCCAAGCTAAGGGTTGTCTTGAATCAGCAGAGGGTCCTTTGCAACTAGTCCCGTGTTTGCGTACGACCCCCGACCTTCCTTCAGCCCCATTCTCACCGTTGGAATTTTCGTGGCATGGCTTGTACTGCCACAATGGTCATCTACCTGACAGTGGTTTCGCAGTTAGTTCAAACAACGTCCCGTGGTTACAACCAAAGCTCAGGCGCAAGGAAGCTCGAACGGCAAAACGCAAAAACAAAATGAAGGTTTTTGTTTTTTTTACGTTTCTACGCTGCTACGATTTACACGTTTGCCCGCCAGACGAGTGTCGGGACCCGCTATGCCGTTATGCAAACCAACGTTGCCAAGCCAGCATAGTGTTTACACAATAACTCGGCGGTTGCCCCAAATTCGTTTACCAGAGATGTAGGCTAAGGGGGGGGCGCCCAGAACCAAGTAGTGCATGCCGGTGTCCCAAACATTCAAAGCCTTCGAATTCTCCCCCACAGGCTTACAACCGTAAATCCTCTGCATTGCAATCGCAAACGCGATGACAACAAAAAACAACTTCGTGAAAACCCGATCGTCTTCGCCAACCTCTCCTCATGAGCTCAAACGTTCCTTTCTACGACAAGATTGCTTCCTTCCACTCCTTCCACTCACCATCCCATGGCAGCTCAAGCGATCTTTCTTCGCCCCCGCCAACATTTCAGGGCGGATCCTCAAACATATCTCTGTGGAGTTTTTCACCCCTCTTGCCAGCAACCGAGAACGGTTATGTCAACAATTATGCAATATTGTGCATCAGGAACTAGCTTCAACAAAAAGATCTAGAAGTCAACAAGCTTCAACAACCATAGTTCTGATCGTATGGGACGGGCAGCGACAGGCCTATTGGCGGCGGCGGCACAATGGACTTTCTTGGCGACCTCGGAATCACGGTCATGCCTGCCGACAGCTGACTTCCTCAAGCTGGGCCTTTGTTTCTCGAGCCAGTCCTTTTGTGGAACCGTGGCGACAGCAGGCTGTGCAAACAATGAAAGCTTCAGGGACAAAAGCCAAAGTGTCGAAGACATGCGCAAGATCGTACATGATTGCACAAGGCAGCACATCCCTCAGCAACCTCTTGGCAGCTCACGCTGTCATCACCGGACCTGCAGAAGACTTCTTGTCACGCAAACCACAAACCAGCAACACGTCTGGCTGTTCAACTACAAGAATGAAGGACACCGGCAGAATTCAACAAGCAGGCTAGGATCTGACATTGTCAAGAAACCTGAGACATTGACCGCATCGCATGTCACGTATATCCCAAATAGATGACCGGGTCATCTTCCAGCCATCGTCATTACGACCCGTAGCGAAAACACTTATGACATGACTGCAAAGTGAAATGATAGCGCAAATATGCAACTTGCAAACGTCGCTCTTCTAAGCGTTGTCATGAACGAAACAAACGGCCCGAAACCATGTCTACAAGATTTCCTTGGACATGCGGGGTGACATGTCATGTAACATTGCGGCCATGCTAAGTCCTGTTCCACCATCCACACTAGTCTAGATGCTCCAAGTGCATCCTGCTCGTCCCTCGCACAACACCCACCCTCGGCAAGCCAGCTCTGTTCCTGTAGCATCTGCTGCGTGACCGAAGAAGCAGGCTGAATGAAACTTTTTTCTTCTTGCGCTGAAAGGCTGCCCCGTTTCAGGCACATGCAAGCATGTCTTTCGGCACAAGCCCGGACGTGGGTGTGACAGGTGGGAATGACTCTGCTTAAAGCAGGTCGACCAGCTGTCTTCTGAGCGTGTGAACCACACTTGCAGTGACTTGCAGGTTCATCTCCATTTATCCACGCGTAACCTATGCAGCGCTAACCATCCTACCACCCCTTGATGAATTTCGACACTGTCTAGGAATCTGTTGTTGCAGTTGGCCCGGGATCTTGCACTGTAGCTTACGCTGGTCGCACACGGTGTTGGTCTAAGTGGAAAAGCTGCTCCTCATGTAAGACAAACTGAAATCAAGCGTCGGGCAGAAGCGCGAAAGGCAAACAAATTAGAAAAAATCGACAATGGAGACGATGCACACTGGGTCGGGAAGGGCAAGCCACATGCCCCCGGAAGGTCCACTGGGCCAAAACAATGAGGGTGCCCCCGTTTTGGCCAGTCTGAAACCCAAAACTCTCCCTTTTGTTGTTTTGGCTGCTTCCGAACCCCTACACCAGGACTCGTGGTCGACACGCTGCTGGAAAGACTGGAACAAGTTTATTAAGGGCGGCGCTGCCCCTGCAGGCCTCCTCATGAGAGACCTGCTTGACATTTGGGACATCGCCAGGCGGGACGCTCACGACGAGCCGATTCTGGACGTTCCGGGCATTCTCTCCGGTGGCTCAAGATAGTCTCGTCCACCATTGACGCCGAGAAAACTTTGTTACAATATGGGCTCTCCCTCCCTCTCCCTCCTCCCTCCCTCCCCCCTCCTCCCTCCTCCCTCTGCGGCGAGGGTGGGCGTGCATTGGACCACCTGAGATGGGTCAGGGGCGGAGTAGGTGGTGGGGCGTAGGGCGACAGGGGGAGGGATGGGGGATGGGTGGAAGGTCTAGAAGGTATGGGGGGTAGAGGGGAACGGTGGTGATCAGAGCGGCAAGAGCCGGGAACCGGCGGCCAGGTCTGTCAGGACGCACTCTGGTACCCCCTGACAAAACCGCCCTGCGCGCAAGGCAAGGCGCCCGTCCCTTTTGCCCACCGCAGACTTGACCTCGGCCGACACCATACAAGTCCGGGCCATGTTCCCATGCCAGTTTGGGCGGAAACTGACACTGAGAACCCATGGTGCTGACATGTCTTCTGGCGGTTCTTGGCGCTGCACGGCCCCGATGCAGTCCAACGAGTTTGCCTGTTGGAGATTCTGCAGCACTTCCTGCGCAACCCCTTGTTCACGCAGCTGTTCCACCACCATACCAAAGACACTCCCTCCCTCTCCCTCTTCCTCTCCCTCCTCTCCCTCTCTCCCTCTCCCTCCCGCTCCCTCTCCCTCTCCCCCTCCCCCTCCCCCCCCCCCTCCCTCCCCTCCCCCTCCCCCTCCCTCTCCCTCTCCCTCTCTCTCCCTCTCCCTTCTCCTCTCGCTCTCCGATCTCTCCGCTCTTTCTCGCTCTCTCTCTCGCTCTCGCTCTCGCTCTCTCGCGCTCTCTCTCTCTCTCTCTCTCTCTCTCTCTCTCTCTCTCTCTCTCTCTCTCTCTCCTCTCTCTCTCTCTCTCTCTCTCTCTCTCTCTCTCTCTCTCTCTCTCTCTCTCTCTCTCTCTCTCTCTCTCTCGCTCTCTCTCTCTCTCTCTCTCGCTTTCTCTCCCCCCCATCTCCACTCTCTCCTTCTCTCCTCTCTGTCCTCTCTCTCCGCTCTCTCCTGTCACGAATGATCTATCGAAACTTTCACAAACAAAGGGCTCAGCCCATTCCCGGTTGAGTACACGTGAAGCCTGGAAGAGGACAGCAAGGGGCCCGACCCCATTAGATCTGAAATCTTTGCGATCTCTTTGACCTTGCGTATGTGACCAAGTCTGCCCCCACTTCGAAATCACTGTGGGGCGTTTTGTAAGGAAGAGTCGTCTAGCGTTTCTTCCGGCCCGGGGACCTACGGCGCTCACGGCCATCGCGGTCGCGACGTCCACGCTCTTGCCCGGCCGCGACCCTTGCCCTTGGAGTCCCCACCGTCTTGCCTTGTGCGCTTGCCAGAGCGCTCAGAGACACTCTCTGAGCTCCGCCCGACATCGGACTTGGTTCCCCATATCCTGCATGATCGAGAGCACCGGACCCAAGCCTGCGACGGCAAGCTCACACAACTCCGACTTGAGCTTCCATAGGGGCTCCTTCCTGGAAAGGAGCTCTTGGATTCTGTTCTCCCAAGCAGACATACCCGTCCAGCGCATACGAGTTACCGCCGACCAATCCGAGACGACATCCTCCAACTTGGCGACGGGACATCGTACTCGTACTCGTAGGGATTTGGCCTGTAGAGACCCCCTGCCTGGCTCCTTCAAGGCAACAAAACAAACAGCTTTGTAACTTCAAAACTGAACCATCCGTCCACTCACTTCCACGATTTCACTGCAAGGCAAGAAAAGGCGAGGAGAAGGGGAAGGGAAAAAGAGAAGAGAAGAAAGGAGAGGCGAGGGAGAAGAAGAAAGGGAGATAGAGAGAGAGTAAGAGAGAGAGAGAGAGAGAGAGAAAGAGAGAGAGAGAGAGAGCACACAGAAGACCAACAGAGAACAAAAGGCCAAGCACCCACCCACGACCACACCCCCACACGCCAACACAGAAGTGATAAAAAAGAAAGAGACAAAGAAGAAACAAACAAACAAACAAACAAACAAACAAGGAAAAGGCCAAGACAGGAGGAGATGAGAAACCAAGAGACAACAAAGGGAACCCCAGAGGACAAACGAAACGAAGAACGGACGAGACAAGCCACCCCAGCCGGTCGGTGTGAGCACCCGCACGTCTCCTGCGAGGGACCTGCGCCACGATGGGACCAGGACAAGGGAAGGTGGGGGGGGTCACGGTTTCCTGCGAGCAGGACCGGGACCCCGAGCAAGTCGAGAAGGCCACGTGAGCACACACAAGCATGGGTGACCCGTGAGTCGAGAAAATGAATCGAAAACAGGATGGGCCGAGTCAGAAAACAAAGCCGATTCAGAAAACAAAACCGTGCGAGTCAGAAACCAGCGGGACAACAGGGCCTGACCACCCAAAACCTGAAACCGTTAGAGTTCTGAAAGCTTGGATACACCTAGCAGCCCTTCCCCCTAAAACCTTGACGTTATGAACCACAAAAACTCGTTCTACCTATATGACCCCAAACCCCATAGGCATCCTTGTGTCCACATAAGTTCCAAAACCCTAAAAGCTTTATAGCCCCAAACCTTAAACCCCACACCCAGCCCTAACCCCCAAAACCCTAACCCGGCCCTTTCTGCACACCCTTGAGAAATTTAAGATTTTTGGAGATTCGTAATCTTTATAATCTACAACTTGTTTATTGGCATGTTCTTGAAATCTTATGTTATTTATCTTTCTAGTCGTTTTTCTATTAATATAGTTTCGTAGTGTTCAGGTAGTAGTAGTAATAAGAATACAGGAAGTTTAAGGGGGGCTTTGTTGCGCTCATTCGTGTTTTGTTTTGCTTCGGTAGTAAACTCACTTGTAAATCGAGTGAAAAGAGCTAGCTTCGTTCTCGCTTTCACTGAGTTCACTCATTCACTTAGTATATTAGGTACTATATCTAAGCTTTATGAATCTAAGCCCAGAGGCCGAATGAACCTGCCAGAGTTGTCTGCCAAATTTTCCGGTTTGTTCCTTTTTCACCGTTGCCTTCGGCATCCTTCAGCCTTTGGCCCATAGGCGCCGTCGGCCTTCGGCCCTCTGCCAGGGTCCTCTGCTCCTCGTTTAAAAAGGTGGCGAAAGCTGGACTTAGTCAAAAACCGGCTAAAACCCGCTGGACCCTGAAAAATGATCACTCTCCGAGGATGGAAGCAGTTCTGGCATTGGCAGAGGGCCCTTATAGGTGACGCGCCGCATGCCGCAGCCGAGAGCTGAGGACGGGCCTCGCGGAGAGCCAGGGCAAAACGGCTTTGAGAGGGCTCCTGGGGAGGTTCGATTTTGATCTGCGCTGAGGGTTTTCAGCTTCTGGAGTGTGGGAGCCGAGGGTTGGTATGGCTAGTATATGTTAAAGTGAGATATAGCAGAGGCTTCCTTTTAATGGTCTACTAGTTCTATACACGAAACCGAAGGTTTCGTAGTCAGAAAACTAACGCGCGAAGGCTTTGGAAAAACCTCAGAGGACATAGAGGTTTCCCAATGACATAAGAAAGGAAACAGGGGTATTGCCATCAGGAAACATAAGCTTTCCGTCTTGGGGGCTTTGGCCTGAGCAACATGACATGCGGCCACAAGTTCCCAACTGGAAAGCGTGACTTACTCTGCTTCGGGCAACTGAACAACAAATACAACAAGCGCGAAACTGGTGTCACGAACACTATCGCTTCCTGGTCGTGATGGCCGTGGCCCTCAAGCATCTTGGCGCCAAACCCTAAACATCGCTTAACATGAACAAACCCCTAAGGGCCTCAAACCTCCAGCCGCCAGCCGGTGGGCCCTTGCACTTGAACTCCACAAAACAGCAAGACCCTTGCCTTCTAGTTTGGCCCCCCAAGGCCCCTGTGCGCGGAGCTTCTTTGCACTCCTCGATACCTCTGGGCAGGGATCTGATGTCGCTGAGGATAGGGCATTTTGTGCCGCTGGTGGGTTCGAAAGATGATGCGTTTACTTAAACCAGGATCTGGTGTTCAGAGGTGGCTGCAATTCGCGGCATGTCCAGCCACTGCGACTTCTCATCCCTTTAGACTCTCACTCTTCAACCTCAGATGCGTGGACTCATATACACTCATAAGGATTCGTGGGCTGCAGACTTCGCAGGTCACAGAACAGAAACCACAAAGAGTAGACGGTGTTTGTTCCAAGGTTTCGCCATGGTTTGCCTTAAGAACTCGTCAAATTTAAAGCCTGAAGCTTTAACAAGCTTTAGAGCCCACAGGACCAGATGTCGTCAGTGCTTGCGACGATTGAAAAAGCCAAGTCACCACGCCCCCCAATGCTCACCCTGGCGCATTTCCTGCTCTTGGCGCTCTCCCTCTGTCTCGACATGACAGGCTTATACCAGCTTCAAACTCTCAACATCCGACATCCGTCTGAACCCTCTGAAGATGTCTGAAACTGTCTGAACCGATGAACTACCCAACTCCTCAAGACCGGTCGAAGTAACTCCGCCTGTCCTGTCGTCGCCACCGAGGGCTCCATCGTGAATCACCCTTTGGCCTTGCAAGGCCGATGCTTCGAGTGCCGAAGAAAAACATGTCCGGACGTGGGGTTGAAATGTGGGTGCAAAGACGCAGGTGAAGGTGTGTGTGTGTGTGTGTGTGTGTGTGTGTGTGTGTGTGTGTGTGTGTGTGTGTGTGTGTGTGTGTGTGTGTGTGTGTGTGTGTGTGTGTGTGTGTGTGTGTGTGTGTGTGTGTGTGTGTGTGTGTGTGTGTGTGTGTGTGTGTGTGTGTGTGTGTGTGTGCGTGGGTGTGTGGTGTGGTGTGCGTGCGTGCGTGCGTGCGTGCGTGCGTGCGTGCGTGCGTGCGTGCGTGCGTGCGTGTGTGCGTGCGTGTGTGTGTGGGTGTGTGTGTGTGTGTGTGTGTGTGTGTGTG